AAGCGTAGACAATAATTAAGACTTTCCGATGATAAAATCAGATTCGTTCTATGTGACCACAGAACGTTATTCTACGCACAGTGGGAATTATATAGCGAATTTAAATAGTTAATTAAGTGCCTCAGTTTCGGTGCGCTAGTATCATATCTTATCTATCTTATTAAATATGTTTCTTCTTAATTAAGATATTAAGGCGAATAACTCGTTCAACGCACAAGGAACGTTATTATTGTAATAAATCCGAAAAACTGTAAACTCTTTTATACACGTTCATGGGAAATTAAGATGCTGAAATGAAGAATGAAACCCATCTCTGTTTTACATCCCCTTTTTGGAAATGTAGTCAGTTATTTTGTTTATTTTTATTCCAAAGGGAGCTAATGGTACCTCAAGATACCATCACCTCCTTTTGCGTAGATCGGAATAAAAAAAATCCGAATAAAAGACGTGTAACAATAAGTTGATACACGTCTTTTATTAGAGACCCTAGGTCTGTGCCGTGACCATGAACGGTGTAAAGGGTTCCAAACGTCGGGAAATTCCAATCAAAATAACATCGCGATAAAATCCATAAAAAAGTTTTATTTAATTTTCGCGTAAAATCAAGAAGTCAATAAGCGTCTAAATATGTGGATTGATTTAATTACATGCCGATTTATATCGCATTAAAGCTTCCCCTTTTATTATAAAACATGCTTTGTACCCACCATTCATAGATATACAAAGGCATATCACGGGCATCGAACAAGTTGCTTCGATAATAACCATCAGATATCCGAGTTCGGAAGGGTGTTCGGTTTTATGCAACACAATCTCTACCATGTATGGAATCTAATAAAGTAAGTACTGGATAGCTAACTATGAATATTCCTACCTACCGAAGGGGTAAGATCGATTAAGAGATTTTCTGTTGATAATAGTATTTAATGGCGACGTTCTATCTTTTATAAACTAATAACATCACTAGGCGTATGTAATACTTAATGTGTCACCCAGGACATAAAGTGAAGAGCGGAGATTAATTGCATCTGCTGCTGACTAATTGCATTTGCGCGCGCACTTGAAACGCTCCAATGGCAGCATTAATTACAGGCAATCAAAAGTTATAAACGAATCACAACGTTTATGGCCCTCATTAGATCGTATACTTCAGATGTAAATTACAATTGTTAGCCTTTTTTACTTATATGACAAAATAAACTGTTTTCGTGTCTCTTTTTCTCATTCGTTTATTAAAACAATAAGACTTATCAACACAAGTTTCAGTGAATTCTGTTCATTATCATTATCGGATATATGCCTCTTAGAGACACGTACAATGAAGAAGGCTTGTATAATTTGAATAATTATAATACCATAAATCCATTTTGATAACTTTACTTTCACATGAAAACATGGCTGTACTCTACCAAAGTAGAAAAAAAAACATACGGGCCGGTTATATATTATATTTAGACGCAACAGTCTTTGTGTCGACTGCTGATAGAAGTGAGTTAAAACTAAGTAAGTTAACAATAATAGATAAATGTATTTATTAACAAAATTATTGTATCAAAATAATTGTTAATAATTATTTTTAAGTTAAAAATAAATAATATATAATAATTATTAAAATAAATAAAAAGCGTTCGGTTTTTGTTTACCCAAAAAGTACACAGTATACATAATGTAGCGCATGGGAACCGTTCGGTGACGATGACGCGAATTCCATGATTTTAATTCACCCACAAAGTGCTCAACGCGCCCTAAAGAAGTTTTTTCTTCAACATAGGGTTATTCTAATCGCAATACAATTTTGGTTGATATGTCGTATGTTAGCCCACTCCAAAATGTAAGTTGTCAACTATTCCCCCATAAATGTACTACCTACAAAAATGCGACTCATGGTTTATAATAACGTTTAGTATTCTGTGGCCTTTTTGAAAATTAAACAATAACTAACTCAAATTTCATCTAATTTAAACTTTTGTCCTATATAATATATATATATGACGTATGACTCGCTCATATGCTTAATGTTTGAGGGAGGCAAGAACTAGTTCTCCTGTCACCAGCCACGGCGTTAAGTCTAGGACGTGAACCTTTAAAAAATATTTTGATGTTCGGGGACCCCAAGAGCCCAAAGTTTCAACTACAAATGGCACAAATACATAATCTAAACAAATTCCGAATTCCGACAAATTCCGTAATTTAGTATATTATTACATAAGTTATTTACGCTATGCACAGAAGCAAGGAAGGCAGGTAGATAGACACTAGAAGTTTTCCTTAAACCAATACCGCCAAAACAAATTGGTAACGTAGCTTGAGTGGCTTAATTCATTGGCTTAATTCATTACGAGAGATAAGATCCAAAATTAAATTCACAGTTAATCAAATTAATTTTTAATTTACTTATCGTGTGTCTTTAGCCTGCCAAATTGCGAAATTTTGTTACAACTAAGTTGTTAAAACTAATCAAGTACGACCCATGATTTTATACAATGGAATTTTTTTTACGACATGCGGTCATTAAGTATTTATTTAAAAAATTAACGACCAGGGAGATCATTGTCATCTACTATGACATGAAAACAAAATTACGAGGTGTGCTTTCTTGATACACCTCTGTGAATTCAAACCTGAACAAGAGAGCATCCAAGATCGCGAGTAATCTCGGTCCGGTCAGCCTATGACGTCAACGACTAAGGAAAACATCGCCAAAATAAAAGATCTTATTTGGCACATCGCAGACCATGCAGGAGATTAAAGACTAATTTATAGACACCACAATATGATCGAACGGGAGGCGTCATTGTCAATGAACCTACATTTTTTTAAGATTTCGGCGAGATAGTTTTTTTTATGTTAGAAAGTGGCAAACGAGCAGGTGGTTCACCTGATGTTAAGTGATAACCGCCTGCGATAACTGCCTGCTCATAGACATTTGCAACACCCGTAGAGTGGCAGATGCGTGGCCCCTCTCAATAAAGTAGGCCCTGGCTACCTCACTAACCAGACGAAACGTAGAAGTGCAACACTTCTACTTAACGCCGGTCTTCTGTGAGGTGGTGGTACTAGCCCGGACGGACCTGCCCATTCGTGCAACGGCGAACACTGTTGCGTGGCCCTACCACCGTAGCATCGTAAGTTAGAGAAGAAGCTATTTTTGTTAATTAAAAATTGTAAAATATCATATTTTATTTCATTTAATTGAACGGGCGACGGACTTTTCAACCCGGGTAGGTTGTAAAGTTGTGCGTGATCGTGAACATCGAAAACTACAACCGCGAGCGAAATTTTGTTAATATATTTTCCAAAGATCCTTTCTATAAACGACTAAACTTTCATTTTAGTTACAGAAATACCACAAAAGTAAGTTAAGGAGGCGGTTAATTAGGGAGAAGTTTTGAGCTTTTAGAAAACTTAAGCGGCTGCAACTCTTCATGCACTGTGTTTAATGATTTCGATAGAACATTTTATCTTATTGTTAACTCGCCAAGAGATTTTTTTTTATTATTGTTAATAATCCTAATCTCTGTGTAATTCTAGTTTAATAAGTAAGTTAAATAATCTATACTTCATATTTTACGCAATAGTCAGATTATAACCAATTGCACAATCAAACCTCGTCATAAAGATTATTAATCTTACTTTATCGTTAAAGCTAAAAGTGATTATTCTTATTCGACAATGGAAGAATAGACAGGTATTGGACAAGAATTTAGTTTTGACGGTTTAATATTTTATTCATAAACAATACCCTGTAAATATTTTTATATATTTTATTATGATTATATAAGAATAATAATAAACGGCGGAACATAATTAAGTAACAGATTAAAACGTACAAAACTTCGATAGCTGTCAAATTATTCCGGTCGAATTCCTTCATTAATGAAATCGCTGTGATGCAGTGCCCCATTAAACTAATTGCGTCCCGGTTGCCGGACTTACTTCTTCCGCTGATCATTACCTTTCTGCATCTTTCAGCATCGTTCTGATTAGTAAATTTCTGCGAAACTACCAATTAGTTAATTGTCCAAATACGTTTTGTTCAATCTCCGATCAAAGGTATCGATAAGAAATTATGCCAGTGATCGCAGTCATTGCATTGTTTTGCGGGAGGTGCGTGCCTAGCCCGCTCCACCGTCACGCAACCTGCGTATAAAGGACCCACTGTGACGAGAATCAACTGCCTTAATGTGGATTTTTGTTCGACGTTATTTTTAAAACATTAGTGGTATTCGGTATTTATAATGTTAATCCTATGTTCCTGCGGCAAAATATACGCTTTGGAGAAAACAGTTTTCAGAGAGCTGCCTCATACTTGGTATATTTGTTTTGTTTAAGTTCCAAAAGACAAACCCGTTGGTTATTATTAATAATTTGTTGAAGAAAATTAAATGATTTTTTCCATTGTTGCACAAAGAAATAATAACCAAGCTTCAAGAAGAAGAAGAAGAAGAAGAAACGTTTATTCACGGTCTTTTTAGAACCATTGATAAATAATATGTAACTTAAAATAAATGTTAACATAACAAAAAAACTAAAAATTGATAATAATAGGTCTGTGTAGCAGCATAAGACCGTGAAACGGACGGGACTCGGTAAAAGTCGAGATACAGTAACTAAGATTCGTTCTGATCCCGACGCCGGTTTTCAACTTAACTCGGACGGCTGCGTCAGTGCGCTTGTAATACATACTTCACTTGTTCATAGATGGGTTTCTAGGCTTTCTAATATTTCTTCATCTATATCTCAATGTACTTCAAAAATGTCAGTCATTCTCAATTTAAAAAATAGTGATGGACCACTATAATAATAGATATATTTCCTTCCGATACTGTGTACGCAAATGGGTACATCAGAAAATTTATGATAATGGCATAAAGAAAAAACTCAATTTTAAACATATCATTTATACAGTTATTTTATTTTAAAGTGTAGTGTTTGTAACTTAATATTCAAAAGGTTAATGTTATTAGCCGTCCTTACATATTGTGTTAACGCAGAAGATAATGTTGAACGATAAGCAGAAGTTCTGTAGCTCAGTAGGTGTGCCATAATCAGATTGCGGCAGTCATAGAGCTTCGGTGTAGACTTAGGCCGCTCCCATCAGCCAACTGACCGTAATCATAAATATAGGACATCCAATAGGTTTATGTTAATCCCAAGTAAATCCCTTCGTTTACAAACAATTTATCACTTAACCCACCAACGAAATAACACTTTTTATTTAGTTACGTCGATTAGACCACGAACGCGGGATGGTATACATCGTATCGGGTGGGTTGATGACAGAAAACTTTGGAACTCACCTTGCCGTTACATATTGCGAGTGTCACCATCGCGAGGCATTCGAGAGCAGGGGCTTAGTCACATCGGACGTCTCAGGAAGTCGGGCTCACGTGGCGCGGGCACAACACGCAACCGGTCTGCTGTAACGAGCCTCGCTAGCCAGCTACGTGCGAGTGTTGTTGTTGTGAACAGCGGGACGCTGTAAGACCGAGTGCAGGCGGAGCGGTGCTCTCGGGCGGGCGGCGAGGAGCGACTGCGCGCTGGCTCCCGCTCAATACGTTGGCCATGAAAATTTCAGCCGAGCTGTCAAACGGTGGCGGCACGCAGGTAGCGCGACGACACGCTTACCTGCCCACCAGCGCTCCCCACATACCACCATTTCTCATTAACGCCGCTATGCCAGTGTTACACATGCCGCTCGCATGCCAACTTTGAATTGCAAATGGCATCTCGAAAATTAGGCTAATACGAACACCACTATTGCCATACGATACGCGGCACGCCCTCTGCGCATTGTTATAGAATATATATCACCACAGGTATTCCAATCTTATTTGGTCTATCAATGGCTCTTAAATATTAACTTTATGCAAAGTTACCAATTTCTGTAAGAGGCGCGTAATAATGAAATTACATCAAGATATTTCTCAAGAAACGTAGTATCGATGGCCTATTGGAGATGTATTGACATATCAAACTCGCAACCAAAGATTTTTTTTAAGTTTTAGTGAAAAGATGTCAAGCGGTTCACCTGATGTTAGGTGAATACCGCCGCCCATGGACATCTGCTACACCCAAGGGTTGCAGATGCGTTGACATCTTTTGAAAATTGGCCTCCAACTACCTCACTCACCAGACGTAACGCGAAAGTAATTATTCTTCCACTTCACGCCGGTCTTCTGTGAGGTCGTGGTACTTACCCGGACGAGCCTGCCTTTCGTGCGACACCCGAGTCTGCCGCGTTGCCCTACCACAGTATTATTCACAGTTTATTTATTGTCTTCTATTAGAGAACATCAACATTCGCTATTACAGATCGATAATAATCACGATGTAGTTCATCGTACATCATTTTAGCCTGCTTTAGACCACTTCTATACATAGACCTTCCTCACGGAGACGTCAGTGTAAATAAATAAAATGGGTCAAAGTTTATTATAGTTTTTCCGTTAAACACAGTTTGCAATTGTTTAAAAGTAAAAGCCTTGTTAATGAAACCTTATTTTAAAAGAAATTTCTGAAAACGACAAAATAATATACAATAGAAACTTTAAATAAGGACGGTGAAAAGTTAAATTAGATTTATATATTTTAGATATTTAGGCTAGACTTGGGCTATTTATTATTACTGGTTTAAGCTTGATATCTCCGATTTATCAGGCTAGGTTTAAATTATTCACCGAAGCTATCTGCTTGTTTTATTGAGGGCGTATAGATGCAATCATTTCCGGCGTGCAAAACACCAGAAACTTGTATTAATGATTTATTACTACCCAATTGTACATGCCACGTTAATACGTTGCATGTACAATTAGGCGGGTGTAATTTGAATAATGTCATATATAAATTTCTGACACGCAACTTATATAGCCTTATGTACATTTCACTTACTATAAAGTTATTTTAGAAGACTCAGTTATAAAACCAATCATCAGCAAACAGCTTCGTAATATACGGTCCAGTCGCTAACAGTTCGCACGAGTGACGTATTCGCCCGACATCTGACGACGAACGTGAATATGTTTCAGGATAGTTAAATAAAACAAGAAGAAGAATTACGAAGTTTTATTACACAACTAAAACGTAATTTAGTTGACACTGGTGGAAAACTAGAAAGGTACACTTATTTACAAATAAAAAGTAGAGTATAAATACGTAAAATCATTAGAAAGTACATACAACCTTTTAATCTAAGGCATTAACACATAAAGCCTGATTATTTCATGGAATGATATATTATAATACCAGTGTCTTTCATAGAGACAAAAATATACAATATTAACACAATAGTAATTATTATAGGCACGTTCTTTTTTTCAAACTTAGCTGTTTCTTATCTTATCTTAGCTTTCTTACAAAATTGTAAACGCTTTTCGGTTTCAAATCTTCTAGAACCATATTGTGAAATACTTCGTTATTTAAACACGTACACCAGTATTTAGTTTTCACAACAATATTTTTATCAACAGCTAATAATATCCATAAATTGGTTATTTAAGGATTTCGTGCTCAAACATTTATAATCCCATTTTAAATGTTACTCCAGTATATTATTAAAACCTACCTAATACGTAAATTTATCTCTTTCGACAATTAATTTAACAATGGAAACATACATATCATAATAAATAAAATTAAAAAAAAAAGTAATATAATCCATTAATGTATAAACATAATGCGTAACCAGCAACATGTTTAAGAGGTATCAAAAAATAAAGAATAAAATTATAAATGTTCTGATACGAAACCCTTATATTAAACAGAAGTATTCGTACACATTTTTTAATAATCATTAATAAATAGCTGTGACGATTGCGATAAAATCGCATTGGTGAGTAAAATTTTAATCTAAACTTTTTCAATCATACAATTTAGAACCTTATTGTTTAAGCACCTACGTTAATACAGTACCTCTGTAGAACCACGACAACTGACGTCAAACAGGAAATTCGGTTTGTTAAGAGTTCAATTTTAAAGCTTCAAAATATTCAGATTACCAACACGAGACAGCACCTTGCTAGGACATAGTAAATTGCCTTTGGCGACATTAACGATTTCCTTAACTACACGAGATTCTTATGACATTTACACCTACTTGTCCTATATACAAATTACTAAAATCATTCAAACAACTGAAATATCACACCAGAGGTAATATTGTAACATTAAAAGGTGGCATTACATTAATTTATAATATATACACAGGATCAAAAAGATCAGTACATTTTAAAAATTATAATGCACTTTGTTGGTAAGTACACTACGAACACATTTGAATTTTAATGCGATACGTGTAATAGTACATCAATCATTACACGTTTAATTTTAATTTTATAGTACGAGCATTAGAAATAATTATGTAATATTAATTAAGTGCCGATTTCAACAGATTTTATATAGCTTACTAAGAAAGCCTTTAATTTTTCTGATGAATCTTTACGCTTTTTACGTTATATCATATTACTTCAGGTATTGGTAAAATTTAAGCACAATTGTTCTTTTAGCGATGTTTAAATATAGTACGTTCAAGTACGCTTATTTCGCGCCTTCCCATTGACTACAGGCTCCGCTTGAACTGGTTTTCGTGGACGCAGTATAAAGTTGAGATTGTACGCAGTGTTCACCGCATAGTAGACATTCGCGTTAGCTGGAAGCACCATTTCTGTAATGAAAAATGGATCATGAACATTAGAACCGGATTTGAACTTAACGGGAATCTGTATAACATATAGATTAGTTAGTTTAAATTAGAAGTTTGTGTATTTTCCAAAAAAAACATCCTTTTCGCGGAATTACATGCGGAAGGTATCCTGTATAGGTGTGAATTTGCATCAAAAATGTGACATTTGAGAATATCCATTGACTGCATCGAATTAGACTTAATTTTTCGCGCAGCCCTACCCCCAAACGCGGGTTCTGGCTAGCCGATAGCCTGCGTTCAATGAATCTTTAATCCTCTACGGGCTGAAACTAAAAACATCAATTAAATAAAATTAAAGTAACTTAATTCTGTTAGCCGTCGAGAAACTGTTGACCCTAACATTTTTGTCCCGTACGTGCGACATTTATTACCAATTAACTCACAAAACCCTAATATGATGATAAATTAAAGGAAGTGTCTGCCACCAGGGGCCATTTAATAAATAAAATTACCTAGAGGTATTATTAGAAAAAAAAATCTGCCAAAAGTACGAATTCAAATGTGATCCATAAAACAATCCAACAAAAAAAGTATAATTTTAAATTTAAAGTATAGCGTAGTGAAATAGTTTTTTATAGTGGCAGTCTAATATAAAATGCTGTTCTGTCATAAGTTTGTACTCATGTTACTGCAAATTTGATTAATCAGACAATAAAATTAGCAGTTGTTCGAAAACAATGGGTGTACTCAAACACAGAACTATTACAGTGTAATTTAAAAATGGAAACATATATTCTTATGAACTATTACACTATATTTCGAACTCGAAAAACAGAAGCAGAGGCCTCGCTATAACGCCCCAGAGTGTCTAGCTTCTGACTACGAATTTTTATATTCACTCTAGGATTTATATTCACGCTTATAGAATAGGGCTAAGGTATCCCCTGCCTGTCGTAAAAGGCGACTAAAAGGGGACACGGATGGGCAGCAGCACGAAGGGTCTCGTGTTGCTGTAAGAGGATGAGGGGATTGGAGAAGGTTTATCCTTCTCCGAGGCGAAAAAAAAAAAAAAAAAAAAAAAAAAAAAAAAAGGGGTAGGAACCACAACTCCACATGGAATCGGGGTGCTCTGTGTCGGATCTGTGACTCACTTTGAACCTAACCAAAAAACATTATCAACTAGACTGTGGTGGCAGACTGACACTTCCGAAATTAAAACGTACAAAAGATTCACAAACCTCGATCGGGCAATACTTGCGCCAGCGTGTATATATCAGGATCCCCGTCGAGGTTCAATTTGAGCATTGCGTTGCGGATGACCTGCGGCGTGCGCTCGTTGTTGCTAAGCATTATCGACTTGTACAGGACCACGCCCTCGGTCTCGACGCAGTCGGACTCGTACGTGACGCGTATTATGTAGAAGTCGGGCCCGCTGCGCGTGTTCGCGTACGGGCCGGCCGCCTTCCCGTTGGCCTGTTTCTGGCCGCTGTTCGCGCTCGACAGCGAGACGTCCAGCGACGGCAGCGAGGACGACGACGAGCCGTGCGACAGCCGCGTCGGCGACCGCCTCTCCAGGCTGTCCCGTTTCCACGCGTTCGCCGCGTCCGTCTCGCAATAGAACTGCGAGCTGTTGCTCGAGCTGGTGCTCGCGATCGAGTCGTTCTTCCTGTGCCCCTGGTTGCCGCCCTCATTGGTTTTCCTCGGCCGCCTCTCCTTCGGCGGGTTCGTCTGCGGCTCTATTTGGCACGAGATCTTGAACGCCTCCCGGTCGTCGAGGATGATCACGGAGTCGAACCACCTGTCGAACATCGCGTCCGGCGGCAAGTGGTACGCGTTCGCGGCGCCTTGCAGCAATTTGATTTGGGCTAGCACCTCGAACTCCTTGCGCCGCTTGTCGAAGTTGATCAGGCCGTCCGCCACCGTGTCCGGTATGGCCGTGTCTATCATGGTGAGGTCCGTGAGGAACGTCCCCAAGTAGGGTATGGTGCCGTGGCTGACGCCGGGCGAGCCGCGCTCGTGCAGCAACTTCTGCAGCTGCCTGTCGTTCTCGCCGACTGTGTCTGCAAACTTGGCCGTGCCCTCGCGCATCAACAGTTCCCTTTGCGCCCAGCGATTGTTGTCCTCGCTGAAGATGCGCGCCAGTTCCTCGAATAGCTCCGATTTCTCTTTGGGCAGCAACGCCCACGTTTTCCGCAGCCGGTACACAGAGTTGCTCTGTAAGCCCGATATTATAGCTTTGAGCGAAGAAAAGTTCTTGAGCACCCTCAGTTCCCGAGCGATGTCCAACCACGCGGATAGAATGTCCGCACGCTCGGTCGGTCTTAAATTAGGCTCAACGAGCACCGTTGATATAACCCTAAAGGATACGGCGTTAAACTGGTTTACGGTGGCTAGCACGGTGGCCGCGTCGTGTGATCGATTTTTGTCCCTCCTCGACCATATAGCCCCGAGACATTGATGCGGCACCAGCTTTTTGAACAATTCCATGTCCATTCGTGTTAGTTGTTCGGCAAAATGTCGGTGGGGCACGTGCGGCAGGCGATAGGTGCTGGTGTGGTGGGCCGAGAGCCGCATCCCTGGGGCTAAACAGACCCCCACGCCACCACCAGAACCTTCGCCCCCATTCCGCTCCGCACTGAAGACCGCTAACTTCTGTAATACCTGTAATGTTCAAATGACCTTATAATATTCTACTACATGCATAAAATGTACAAACCCATGTGAAAACATAATAAGATCACCCAACACGAGTTCCCGATCGGTAGTTAAAGTATTAAAAAAAATAAACACCTTCAAATGTAGCTCCGAGCCAGGCAGGTGAAGCTGGGTGAAGGCGAGTAGCTGTTGCAGTGCAGGATGGTGCGGAGCTTGTCGAAAGTCCTCCGGGTAGGTGTCCAACCATACGTGGAGACATGCCACCAGAGTCCTAACAACGAAATACTTTATACAGTAGACTTGTAACTTTATTTTTTAGGTACCGTATTCAACAATCTCATTTTCATGCAATAAATGAAGTATAACAAAATTATAAGGAAATAATCAAGCAAACAGCAGAGTAACGTATTTAATAAAAAAAGATCGCTCACTTTCGATGTTGTTGCGAATTGTCGATTGCGGTCGGAAGCACGTCCTCCGATGCTAAGGCCTCGTATCGCCGAAGAAGCAGGTCTAAGACCCGGCTACATTCTGCGAACGAGCTGTGAAAACCAATTACGTGACTTCAATAAAAAAAAGTTTACCACTAACTACTTTCCTTATTAATTGTACTAATTTTGGCGCTAATAGCAGCCGTTTAATGTACTTTTGCATTCGCAAGCATGTATGTAAAACATAGGTAATGTAACTTTCCATTCAAATTTTACCGATTACTAACATATATAACGATGAAGCCAACTCTCCGAAGAGAAATCACATCAAAAACCAAAAGTAAATATTGTGAAGTCATGTCGGGTCCGACAAATTACAATGACACCTACTTAAAAGAAAACCTACATAATGGACAATTTCATGAAGTTTTTTTGTAGAAAAAATTAATGTAAACAATAAAAAAATCATAAAATATTAACAAAAAAATAGTTTCCATTGTCAATATTCGGATCTTATTCTTCTCTCGTGTATTTATTTATGCTATTTCTACAGAGTGGCTTTTCTAAAGGTGCCCAAATTCACACAGGAGGTTCATGACTACGTGGTCTGATCGTTTATTGAAATAAAAACAAACTTGTTTTTTCAAAAAAATGCCATTCTATTCTCTAAAAAACAGAGCTTGTTGACAATACGGTAGTCATTCATAAATGCGTCGTATGTATTTGAAACGAATTTGTGTGGGTGTTAATTATGAATCATAATATGAGTTGCCCATAAATCACGCACTTTTGAGATCAGTTAAAATGAATGTAATTAATTAATTACGAGTTATTTTAAATATTTATCATTTTTATATAGCATTATTTATGTCTAGAATTTAATTTTAAAAAATGGATACGCTTAATAATACCTTCCCGATATGTATTATATATTTATTTATGTTTATGTATGATGTATGTATTTTATGATATTTTACTTTATTTTGGTATTAACAAGCAAGTTTATTGAGTACACCGACTTCCATGATTCATTAGTTAAATTATCTTGTATTATGGTTGTCTGGAATCCACAGAGGGAGGACCACACGTCACCCACGATGGTTCCCCCAGAGGCCGACCCGCATAGAAGTTTCAGAGGTGACTCCGGGAGAGCTCAGTGCGGCCCTATTAAAATTAAAAGCTAAGAACGCTCCCGGCGGCATCCCGAGTCGAGCATGGGTACTGGCCTTGCAGGACGCTCTGGAGCCTAGGTTGTGGACGTTGTTTAGCGCCTGTTTGGCTCAAGCCATTATCCCACAGAGGTGGAAGGCAGACTAGGCATCGTCCGGAAGGAAGGGCGTCGGGCGATCTCCCCGTCTGCCTATCGGCTGATCGTGCTTCTCGACGATGTGGGCAAACTCATCAAAAGAGTGATCGCGGGCCGCATCGTCGATCATTTGGAGCACGTCGACCCGAACCTGGCAGACAGACAGTTTGGGTTCCGCAGGGGTCGGTCAACTACCAACGCGGTGCTGCGAGTGAGGTCCCTTGCACAGGAGGCGGTTTCCCAGGGTGAGGATGTCTTTTCGGTGTCTCTCAACATCGCTAACGCCTTCAACATCTTGCCCTGGGTTTGCATACAGGAGGCGCTCCGGTACCATAGAGTGCCTCTCTACCTGCGCCGCATCATCGAAGCCAATTTGTCGCACCGTCGTGTGGTGTACCCGTGCCGAGACTGCCACCGGACAACAGTTGGTGCTACATGGCGTGTCGAGTGGGGTAACGTATTACGCTAACGACACCCTTGTCACCGCTCGTGGTACCAATTTACGCCGCGCCGCTATTCTTGCTACAGCGGGAGTGGCACACATGGTAGGACGCGTTCGGGGACGGGTACTAGCGTCACGGCACCCTCACCTACCGGGCGACGCAAGTTCTCTCGGGACATGAGTCTTTCGGGAGGTACCTGTGCCATTTGGTGGGGAGGGCGCCAACAGCAGTTTGCCACCACTGCGACGTATGTGCCGAGGTGACGGCCCAACACGCACTGGAGGAGTGCCCAGCCTGGCGGGAAAAGCGCCAAGAGCTGAGGACTATCATGGGGCACGATCTCTCACTACTCGCCGTGGTTCACGCTATGGTGGACAGCAAGAGGTCGTGGGGTGCCGTTCTTGTAATTTGCCAGGACATAATAACCCGGAAGGAGGCCGCGGAGAGAGAAAGGTAGCGGATATGCACGCAACCTTCGCCCCTGATAGCCCCGGGGCGGCAGATGTGGGACTAACTGCTGCCCCGCGGAGGGCTTGAGAGGGGTGCCGGGTTCATTGCACCGACACGGCACCATTTGGATGGACCGGATGTCTAAACACCCGGGGAGAGGAGGCCTGAGAAGGCCACAGTCGCGCCGGCGTTCGCGGAAGATTGCGTTTTCGTGTTCCCGTGTCCCTAGCGAAGCGACAGTGCAGGTGCAACGTGGTATTTTTAGTGGGTACCTCATAACTCCCACATACCCCAGCTGTCTACCCACAAGGCGGCGGGGGATCCATAAAGGATTTTTCCCAGGTAAAAAAAGGGTTGTCTGGAAGAGATCGCTTTTTAGGGATGGACCACCTCATTGTACCAAAGTTTTATTTTATATTAATTGTATTAAATTATTTGTGGTGTACAATAAAGTATAAGCACCTGGAAACATTTTTTTGATAAATCGTGTATTTTGGAAATCAAAAAACTAAAAAAATAAAGAGAACAAAGATCTGATATAGAAAAAAAAGTAAAAAAAAAATAAGTGTGTAAATAACTGCAGCCTTATGTTTCGGGGCCGCCCCATTACCGACCGAGCTATTATAACATTTTTTTTTGGCGAATTATGATACTTTTTTCGCGTTTTTACCGTCAATCATTTGAATGATATTTTTCTCCTATCTGGTGGTCGTCATAACCGTTTATTCCAAGGTAGTGATATGTTCTCTTCGATATGAGCTTAAACTCACGCTTGAATTATTTTTTATAAGTGGACTTTAGTTCGCACCGTACCTGGCGGATGTATGAAAAAAGTGTAAGAATTTTTCCCACATTCAAAGTTTATTCCAACTTGTATTATCCTGGATCTTGTAAACTGAATTTTAGCCAATATTTTTGATGATTCCTCTGACATATGGTAAACTTTTTAGCTATGGGAAATATAATACTTTTATCAATAATAATATACTCATACTATTGTCTCTATCTCTATATATACACTTGTTCGCTATACAACCTTTGGCCAATTTATTGAATCTAAAGCCTATTCTAAATTTAGAATGCCTGAAGGAGGAAAACAAGGAGGAAAACAGTTGCGTAGTTCGACGGGAAACATCAGAAAACGCAATGGCGAGTTTATGTAAAGTACTGTCATCTTTTAACAGGTGCTGGTTAACTGCATTAGTCTCAGCGGAGTCGAATTCGAATGTCAAAGAATAAATATTGACTAATATTAGAAACTAGTCTAACAAGCCTCGAACAGGGTAGTCACCAGCCTCACATTATTCACCAGAGTGTACATTTGTAGAATGATCTACGCCTCGCCAATTACCGGTAATAAAGCACTAACCAGTATTTTATAAAAACAATCTAGATATCGCTATGATAGTCACAAATCAAAATCTGCTTAATAACGTTTACAAGTAAACATTGACTTACATTATATTATCAATACATGCTATTTAAAACTAATAATTCATTGCTAAATTAAATCAGTGTACTATATTTTGTGCTTATATTATGACTTGTTGCAACGTGATACGTTCAAAAAATCCAATTTACAGAAGTAAAAGCAACATGTGCGTCGACCCTTACCGCAACTAAGAATAGTTTTAGAAAGTCATACACCATTACCATCGCTTTAGAAACTTTCATCAGGTTATGTTGAAAAGGTAAAGATGTAAATTACTATATTCGTGTAAAATAAAATAAAGAATTAATAGTAATTCTTTCAGCAAGAAAAAATATATAATAATATAGGTATTTGGAATTTTTGCATCGGGTCGTACAAATATTATAATAAAAACGCGTACATAACTATTATCAGTAAAAAAATATATAAAGTATAGAAGATTTGTATATATATAAAGATTAAGTATAGAAAAACCCAACATTACACAAAAGGTTTGAATATTTTTTTTCCAATTTATCTAACTGAAATTATAAATATTAACACGGTAAAAGTGGGGTGAAAATCTTTAATATTTGTGAAATAATATTTTTAAGAAAGTACACAAACAAGAAACTCACGGGAAAAGACAACTTGTTCATAAAAATTCCCACGTATCTAATTTTTAACATGCGAACTTTTGCACGTTTAAAACGTTACATCACACTGTTAATTACCAACTATGACTGTCTGTCGGCTTCAATACACCACCAAACCAATATTCTTTATATTCGGTTTGGAGATGCATTACGTTCTTGGAAAAACTATAGGTAATTTTATTTAATCAATCTCGTAAGTAAAGAGATGCAGACGAATGTAACGAATTATACAGAGACAAAGTATCGACGAAGGATATATGACTGCAAATATGCAACGAGCTAACGTTTATCTTGAACGAATTTCAAGGATTTCATCAAACATGGACGGCGAATCCACGGGCAGGTAAAACAAAGATATTTTCAAGTAACACACCGGTATGTGGCGAGGAATACATTCACATAGGTGGATTCTAGCTCGCCGTCATCCGTGGCTAGCGCCTCCACTAGCCTCTCGACTGTGCCGGCTTTGACAAAGCGCACCCGTACAGTCTCCCATTCCAGGTGCGAGATCTCGTCGTCCGATTCCTGGAAGCGGGAAGGAAACAGATATACATATTATTATGTATGTAGGAATTTGTGTTTGTTGTATGCAGCACAAGAAGTGCAGTAATTAGGAAGATTAGGCTCTGTTAGAGAATAAATATTTCTGTTTATAAAATTAGTATATAGACATGTACATACTTAAGTTAACAAGCGCTGAAAAATTACTGCGCATATACTATATTGTAATGTTTTTAGATGCTAAAAATTACAGACAATAAATAACAATCAGTTTGATGGTTTAAGAAAATCACAAAAACTTTTTTTATACTTGAATATATAAAACTTAATGTACAATAACCCAGAAAAGTAAGTTGGTTTTATGTTATATTTCTATCTTTCGTAAAACTCTTGCAAACGATATACCTGCATTGTTATGTAAAATATTGATTCCGTAATTAACCATGCTACAAAATGCAATTTTACTTTCAGATCACAAATTAGATATCAAACTTTGATTTTTCAACCATGACTTTTAAGACTCAGTATTCAGTAGTCAGTTGCTCTGACCACTTAACTTCTGGTTGCGTATAATTTTGTTATATTGAGGCAACCATAATTTAGATTCCGGTTAGATTACAAAACAATACCATACCTGTAGAGTACCTGATTAAGGAATATCAATAAGTTAATTACTGCAAAAAGTTCTTCACACAAACGCCTATAAACAAAATTTACGTCTACAAAAGGCACTAACTATACGGAGAACATAACAATTTAATTTTATGAAATCGATTATAAAGTTAAGTCGTAAAGTTTAATCGATTATAAGTTTAAGTTTCTCACATATCTTAATTCCAACCTGCAACCTCTTATCACGTAATTAATACGTAGGTTAGTACCGAGATAAAATGTTAGTAGTGATTTTTTGGAGACATCACCAGGAAGTGATCGCCGTCACCATAAACTTTCATAAAATAACTGGAGTTGGGAATGCATGCAATGCTGGCCATCAAGAAAGGTATCCTCAATAAACAAAGGTTCCCTATGCAGAACTCTATGGTAGAGTTGAACCTTTGTGTTAAATCTTGGTAAGAAAAGACGCACAAAAGTGCAATAATGGTTAGTGTGCCCAAATGGGGCTACAGAAAAATGTGTTGTTTAATTATTTAGTAACCGTTTTTTATTATTCTAACCAACACCCGGGAAAACACTTAAATATAAAGGGAAACGGTGCTTACACTCGAGGCGCTCCGAGTAGGTCGATGATATCGGACTTTCTTCAAATAAACCGTGTATATAGCGCCGTCCACCCTCTCCTCGCCCCACAACCGCCATGTCGGCTGCTGGAACACATCACAAGTTGCTCAACATATGCTAAACAGAATTCAATCATACAACAAAGTGGTAACAAATTATGGCGGTTACAAAAGCAAATACAATATTTGCTTGAGGCTTTGTAAAACTAAAATATTAACACACAAGTTATTTTGACAAATGAATGGGTATGCATTTATTTTTAAAGATATTGATAACCTATCGGGTTTTTAACTAAAAAAATATCCTGGTGATGATTAGATGTGATTAATAAATGTCGGATTAATTATTTTCTATCACTGTATACTTTCGATGTTCATAATGGTAAACTGATATTCATAAGGTTACGTGACAAATGCAAAGGTAGACCCAGTAAGGTTTTAAATAGTGTATTTAAAACCTTACTGGGTCTACCTTAAAAAAAAATTACAGTAGACTATTTATGTACAGCCCCGGATATACGAAGGGGCCAACCCGGACACCCGCCCCTTTGATTAAAATAGAGAAATTAATGAACTTCATTAATTTCTCTATTTTAATAAAAAATTAATTCGAATATTTAAACACAATTGTGACTGGTACACACGTGTGACTGCAACATTTAAAATTGTGCCTTGAGCTGCCGTTGTTGCAATACACATTGACGTGTGTAAGCCTTAAAATCTCGCAGCAGATTGTTGGTAACATCTGATGGTGGAAAATTTTAATTTAAAATTATTTTTTCTCCTCGGGTAGAAAAAAAAGTTGAATTCCCGTTTTTACGTAATTAACAAAAATTATTTTCAAATATTTTTTCGAAGATATTTTTGAACGAGGTGGTACTAAGTTAAGTTTCTGCCATGGTTCGGAATATTTGTAGATCCGGAACTGTTTATTTATGAATTACTTAAACAAAAATAATCCCCACACAGTTTTAATTATTCGCAAAATGTACCCATTGGCATACTCAAACGTGTGCTGTTACAGTTAATGTAATTTGAGCGACTTAATTACTTACATCACGTATAATTATGGCAATGAAAATGATACCGTGGCCCTTATAAATAGAAACATGACCTGATACCAATCCTTGTTTTATATTGTAAGCAAATCATGTGGTGATCTTATCTATTACATGGCAGAAGACCTAGACAAAGGAAAAAGGTATAATAATGTTAAGAATCCTTAGTAGAAACGAATAAAATATAGAAAAAATATATAATTTAGTTTCCCCACTGTTTTTACCTTTTCATTATATTGTAGCAAAAAACAACTCTGTTGTTTAGAGCTTCTACTAGCGCATTATCCAGAAGACGCACTTACGCCTACGAATCAAGCCAATGCCGAAAATTATCTATCTATTTAACTAACATTTAAGTTTCACCTTGAGTCGAAACTAACTTTATCAATAAAATTAATCTTATTATATGATATAATTACCTATATTAACACCATACAAAATCGTTTTATACGGTATAAACATCTGGCGATAATCACATTAACACACTTTGTAAACAAAAGTAGAGCCATGTTAACGTTATTAAATCTGTCATTAACAGTAGGAATTTACGGTCCTTACATAATCATCGTAAACGGTGCCAGCGAACAGTACGGGCTCGGCCTTACTGACGCCGCATATCCTCCACATGGCCACTGGCCCATGTTGCGCGTGTAACGTCAGCACAGCTGAGCGTAGCGCATCACGAACACTTTCACTGATGCATCTCGAGGCGGGAGTTTCGCACCAGCTCTATTGGAATGGGACCGATCGAGAAATACGCGAACGACTATGCAAGAACCGCGAACGCGAGTCTCCGGTGAAATCGCCGTCGCGACACACTTGTGACTACGTATCCGGCACGTTTGTATCGATTAAACGATTTCGAATCAAATATATCGACTGAAATCACCATACGGGGCGTACACCGTACGACACTATCGTAAGCAATATTATTGCCAGACAACAAGAATTCTTAATCAGGCATCGATGCTACGTTTGAACATGAAAACGAACACAATAAAAGTAGCTATAACGTGCACAAAACACTATACGAAACTGCTTTAATTCGGTCGCAAAATCGCCTATTTGCATGTTACACGAATGATTCTTAGACAGTTGCGCAATGTAATCATTCAAAGCAATGGGACGTTCACGTGAAAAGATCGATGTGTGTGAGTTTCCTAAACGCTTCCGCAGAAAACAAGCAAAACTCCTAACATGGAAAGAGACGCGACGGCAGAGGCGCGGACGCAACACGACTGCTCTCTCGCCGGAGAGATCGCATGGAAAACACTGGCACGAGAAACGTGAATGACGCGAAACGGAAAATACTGCACCACCGACGGGTGACAAGCTAACCAATTACTCATGCCTTATAGTATTTAATGATATTTCTTATACAGTAATAGCTCGAACTTACGCGAGGGGTATGGCCGGCGAATGATAACCGCGCAGACGAATTCGCGTAAGTTGGGGTAATATTTCGCGTATAAATACAAACAAATTATTTATATTTGGAAAAAATCGCAAACCGAAGATATTTTTCAGTTTGGCTAGTGGAGTGCCAACAGAAAACTAAGTTTTTACTCATTAAACAAACATCGTATATCTTCAATACCTTTACAGTAAACCAAATATATGGAACAGACAACAGATTATCTCTTAAAATTGTATAGGTACCAACAATTATATAAATGTAACAAAACTAATAAAAATCGATCTATTACATACTGCTCCTTAATTTCCGTTAGATAGTTTTATATAACTCTGTTCAAAGACTACAAGACTATGATTTCAGTCATTTTAAAGCAATAGTTTTCTGTACCTCCTGTTATTTCACTTTTAATTTTTGGATCATGGTAAGTATATATTGCATGGTGAACATCCCATTTACAAATATTTATTTGTAAATAGCTTATTGAAACTATTTTTATTCGTTATACATTTATGAACATACAAGAAATTCATTATTAATTTTGTTCGTGATTGGATAGGAAATATTACAATAAACCAAATATTTGCGAGTTCGAATAATACGAATAAAAATATTGCGATAGACGCAGTTTGTTCTATGACGCGCTCGGAGTCAACGTGGCGCCTCGTGACCTCTTTACATTAAGATAGGGTTGCCATTTCCGAAACTTCAGATCCTAGAAAACGAGCATTTAAATGCAAAACTCATTGAAACTTTATACTTTTAGATCATTACCAAAACCTTAAGGTAGAAATTATCCTTAAATACTAAATTAATAATAAATTATTTATTTTGGATAGCAAAACCTTGATTGGAAACTTTTGCCGAATTGATTTAGGCAACATGCTGATGAGCGTATGCAATAATGAGTTTTTATCCCTGACCGCAGAAGACCTATGCAACTGAAAACGACGGAAGCATCTTATCGATGAAATTATTAAAATTCTTTCTTTCCTCAGTGAAAGCCTGCGACTTAAATACTATAGCTACTAATGTACTACGAACATTTCCAACTTTTTTTTTTAATAATAAAGATTATATTTTTAGATAGGTACCATTATTACATATCAAAAATGTTTTGCTTTAAACAGTTTTCTTTTCTAATTGCCTTTGTCTAATGGGTTAAACAATTTTGTATGCTTTTAATGTTAAATACATTTGTTGATATTCATCCGGTACTATACTAAGTTTACATATCACTAAGACACCGCTGTCTTTCTGTCTGTCTGTTCGTCTGTCACCAGGCTGTATCTCATGAACCATGATAGTAAGGTAGTTGAAATTTTCACAGATGATGTATTTCTGTTGCCGCTATAACAACAAATACTAAAAACCAGAATAAAAAATATTTAAGTGGGGCTCCCATAAAACGGACATGATTTTTTTTTGCCATTTTTATACATAATGGTAGGGAACCCTTCGTGCGCGAGTCTGACTGGCACTTGGCCGGTATATTTAGAAATTAATTACAAAATGATTAACTTGAAAACAATGGCATGAGGTGTTTTCAGTATGTTAAGAATAAAACAAAAACAAGATATACAGAAGCAAGGTCATGACGGTTTTTGTGATAATAACAAACAAAATATTGAGATAATATTTATCTCGTATACGTAAGGCCGATACCTCCTTACAAGTAAAAATTCACAAATCTGTGTAAGCAAAAAGTAGATGAGATTTTATATATTTATGTCTAACTAGTTAAGTCTGCTAACCGTAAAAATAAGCAGTTATTACTGGTATTGATCTCCCATTAAAATGTGCACATAAATAGGATGTCATAAAAATGTTTGTACTTTTTCATTATAATTAAACAATACAGTTATGGTTCTTTTCGTTGGATCCAAATAAACACGGAGGACAACGGAGAAAATAAAACAGGCAAGTTTCAAAGCTGTTTACACGAGTCGGTTAATCTGAATAAAACACTGAAACAAGGCGAAGGCCCATTCCATAGTCAGTTCAATGTATTAAAATGTATGTAATACAAACTCCATGTAAACCATGACCGGGTAGGGGCACAACCAAAGAGTGAGTTGCCTAGAAGTGAGGGTTAGAGCTTAGTTCTCATTAGGTTTACTTTTATACCAAAGACTGATAAATACGAGATTTCGTACAAGGTTTATCAACATATATGATTATTTACTTATCTCTTTGTTACAATAATAAAACCAGTTAATTCAAATATAAAAAAAAGTTTTTCTTAGTTAAAGTGAGATTATTATTATACAGCGTGTCTTTACAACCGCAACAATAAATGAAAACACATATAGAGTATAACTTTTTAAAATTGTATTAAACATTTAGATTCTTTAAAAATCAATATTTACCGAGTTATTAAATTTTCCAATACAAACAATTTTAGAACACACTTACGTATAAAACTTTAACGTAAAGTTCATTTGTATAGGTCAAAACGCATATGAATGGGTTGAATAAATTTAAAAGAGATAAAACATACTGTTAGAAGGAGAGACTTGTAATGCGACGCTGGGGTAACGAATGAAAGAGTCTCTGAATGTATGAATCAGTCTGTTGTAGTTGTATAGGATGTTACAAACTTTGTTTCTTTTTTACTTAATTAGTTTGTTTGCAAAATATTTTATTTTAATTATGGATTTTTTAACGTTTATATTTTTTTAAAATTATTGGCAAATAGTGTTAGACGTGTGTTCATTTATTGTCGCGGTTGTAACGACACGCTGCATATTACATTTAAAGTTTATAAGAACACTATTTTTACTAAACGGCCGTCATCCTTTAAATGTAGCCACATTTGTAAGACCAGGAAATAACTATTAATAGAAGATAAAGTGTACAAAATTTGTAATAAACCAAACTTTATTCATGAATTCAACTTCCACGAAACTACTAATTCCCTCGGTAATCATCATACGAATCTTATAACAATATAACCTGAAGGACATTTATAATTCCGAATTAATTATAAAAACGCAGGACATTTATATTTTTATGGAATTCGCATTATCGAGAATCAAGTCACCTTGCGACTATAATAAGAATATAATGCCTAAAAACGTAATTAATCTTTTTTAAACTACAAATTAACTTACCTCGGCAAATTGGCAAATCAATCTAAAATACATTAAAGTAACATATCTAAGTTAAGTATTTCGCAATAATAGTAGTTAGTATTTTTCAGGCATAATAAAAGGGTGGCAACGCATTTGTGAGCCCTCGGGTGTTACAGGTGTTCATGGGCGGCGGTAATCACTTACCATCAGGTGAGCCTCCTGCTCGTTTTCTCCATAAAAAAAAATAATAGAACTATAAAGTGTGTAAATTTGGAATAGGTATAAAAATTTCGTCCAGAGCTCACCCGCAAACTTGCCGCAACGACATTATTTTTTTAGCTAGGTATTAGTGATTTTTTTCACAAAAATATAACTTCAAAAGATACATCAAACATCAGAAAAAATATTTACAGTAATTACAATCCAAGAAAACATTCTTATTTCTATGGTAATGGTTGGTTTTATCGCAGCATAACATTAATTTCAGTAGACTTTAACTATAACGTATGCCACAAATTTTAAGCTTATCCCTAACAATGATTATTTGTTGAAACGAGGTTCAAAGTTCGAGTATCGATCGAGAAATGGGCGTGCAGCGACGGTACGAGTTCTAAAAATAACCGCAGAGAAAATTGTCGCCGCCCTACTATCCGCCTTTTCCGTCTTAGGGTCCGTTCACACAGACCGGCTCGGAGAGGAGAGCAGATTTTTATCACGTTGGAAACAGTGTTTTGAGTGATTGTAGTAAAGTTTATTTTTGCATTTGCACCTTTTTTGTCATTAAAAATGCCTGAACGCGCTTCGTGTGAAGTAATAAAAGGAGCCGACCGGCTCCGCTTGCGTGCTCTTTCTCGCTCGCGCAGCCGATGGGCTCCGATTGCGTGCTCTTTCTCTATCGCGTAGCCGATCGGCTCCGATTGCGTGCCCGCTGCGGCCGCGCCGACCGCCATTTTGATAGCAACATTTGAACGTAATAGTTGTGCGTACTTGTACGAAAAGATGAATGATGAAAAATTAATAATACTCGTGTCAAAATAAGAGTGTTTATTTGACATAACCAAGCCATCATATAGCGATCGGATAATGAAAGACAATGCATGGGAGGAAATTAGCAAATGTCTCGGAATAAGTGGTAAGTAAGGTTTTCATTGTTTTACACCTACCCCCAGATACTCAAACGAATTTTAAAGCAAGGGCTTCTTAAACTCGTGCTGCGACGTGTTAGATTCAAAGTCAAAATAGGAATAACATGAGTTTAAATGCGCCCTTACTTTAAAAACTCGTTTGAGTATCTGATCGTTAGAATATACTTATGTAGTAGACAATTTTTATTAAATATAACTTAAGAAACTCGCGTAGCCACTTGATCTTGCCAATCTAAAGCACCACTTGATGAAAAATAATCCTTAAATTTATTCCTTGTGGTTAGAACTGCGTCGCTATTAGAACTGTTTTCATTATTATTGTCTGTTATTGCTGTTAATAAATTTATATTGCTGTGAAATTCATTCTCTTGTCCTGGCGTCCGATTTTCTATTAAAAAATTATGTAAACATGTAGTTGCTAATATAATTAAATCACAGTACTTCGGCTGAATTTTCATTCGTTTTTGATAAATTTCAAATCTTTGAGTTAGCATTCCAAATGCACATTCTACGACTTTTCTTGCCCTGCTTAAACGCAGATTAAATACTTTTTTTGATAATTCTGTTCTTGCTTGTTCTCTTGGATACGGCCGCAATATATTATTGCTCAAAGGAAATGCCTCGTCTCCTATAAAAACATGTGGTAAGCTTTCAGTGGTACTAGGTAGAGGTTTATTTGGGGGCAGCTTTAACTTATTGGTGTTGAGTTTTTTCCAAAATTTTGAATTCTGTAAAATTCCGCCGTCGCTATTTTTACCATATGATCCGACATCAACAATTAAAAAAACTGTATTTCGCGTCGACCACAGCTAGTAACACTGTACTGAAAAAGTTTTTATAATTATAGTATAAGCTTCCACTATTATCTGGTGCCTGTATATTGACATGCTTTCCGTCTATAGCGCCCAAACAGTTAGGAAAATTCCAAATATTAAAGAAATCACGTGAAACCTTTTCCCACATTTCTTCATCTGGCATCTGCATAACTATGGGCATCAAAACATCACAAATTACTCTGATTGTCTCATGAATAATTGAATGAACTGTAGAAATTCCCATTCGAAAATTAAATGACAAGTTTTTGAAACTGCAACCAGTGATGAGGAATCTGTAAAAATAAAAAAAAACACACAAAATAGAAATATAAGACTGCCGTACCAAAACGAACTATAAAATAAAAAAGAGTTATGTTATTAATTTTTCATTTTGTTCTTTCCAGTGACGCAGTGCCAGGATCGTTGGAAGAAACTGCGAGATAACTTCAGAAAAGCCTATTATAACCGAAAAGGCAAGAGTGGCGATGGTGCAACTACGTCCAAATTGATAAAATTTGAAAAAAAACTTTCTTTTATAATACCATTTTTTCGCAATCGAAACCAAATATCTAATGTAACATTATCATCGGATGATTCAGAGCCTGGCACACCAATACCACCACCATCGACACATCATCTAAACGTTCTGACCATTCTGAAGTTGAATCGCTTGCAAGTACTTCTGGCTCGAAAAAGAGACCACGCTTAAGCAAAGATGTTGCTACGGTTTTCGAAGAGTATCTTGAAGAAAAAAGAAATACTACACCCCGTGACAAGGCATTACGTAATTTTTTTTGTCTATGTCAGATACAGTGGAAACATTCCCAAAAGAAGTCCAAGCACGAATTAAAAGGCGCGTGTTTAACATTGTTAATGAAGCTGAATTAAGTCTGTATGAAAATAGTACAGATTTGAATTATTCTTTGTCTATAAATTCACCGCCATCGACTAATCAATCTACTTACCTAGTGTCAAACGAAACCTATATTCCTCAAAACTATCCAGATCAGACTACTTACGGGTACAATACCAGCACACAAAATACAAAATAATAAACAATCAAAAACAATAATAATTATAATAATAATAATTAAACACACACAAATCTGTACTATTTAATTACATTCCATTAACGTAAATAATGCTTAATAAATGGAGGGCTGTGATTTTGTGATCTATTTAGATGTTTGTGTTATTTAACATGATTAGTATAAGTAATTTACATTTCATTAACGTAAACAATGCTTAATAAATGGAGGGCTGTGATTTTGTGATCTAAATAACATGATTAGTATAAATAATTGTTTTTTATTTACCTTAAAGTTACCGTTAACCTTTCTTCGGCTGTAATGGTGCAACGATAATTTGTAGTCTTTTTTGTTATATGTACTCTTAACAAATCTGTCAATTTCAAAAATTGCCAATATTCCATACGATAATACTCATAAAATTTTAGGCTATCTCTCTTCAATTCCTCGAAAATGGTGTGAAACTCCCCATGGATTAGTCTGTTTTTCCAAATATGTTTTACCCATATTTGTTTCCGCTTGCGCTTACGTTTCCTATGTTCTATTTCAAGTAATCTTGCTAACAAATATATTTCTTCGTCGGAGCTATCTAAATCCATGTTTCGAAAAGCACACGTTAACACACCGAAAACAAAACTTAGACTGCGCGGAATACTGGCACTGCCTTTGTAGTGTATCCACCCGACTCCGAGCGCATCCGACCGGCTCCGAGCACATCCAACCGCACCCGCTTTCAGATCTCTTCCAGCCGGTCGATGTGAAATAGTTGGCGGCTCCGCTCCGGCCAATTCCAAGCGTATACGACCCGGTCTGTGTGAAAAGAAAAAAGCAGGCCGATGCTCTCCGAGCCGGTCTGTGTGAACGGACCCTTAAATGATGGAGCAAATTCAGAAAGTTAACAACGATTTTCGCGGATTCGCATCATTTTATATGGTTCAAAAATGTTGACTTTTTACAGCGTAAGTGGTTTGCAAAATCCTTTAGGTGGTCATCTCCATGCTTCACTGCATTGTGTTATATTGTAGACTTGCTTTGCACACGACTTCGTCCGCATAGAATTTAAAATAAATAAAGTTTCTGAAATAAAAGTAGCCTAAGTTACTCCTTATTACAGCAGCTATCTGCTAGTGAAAGTCCAGTCAAAATCGGTCCAGCCATTTCGGAGATTAGCCGGAACAAACAGATAGATAGATAGAAAAAAAATGTAAAAAATGTTATTTTGGTACATGTACCGTGTAAACATCCGGTTAAACAACGGTTATTTTAATATTACATACAGACACTCTAATTTTATTTATCTGTAGGTATAAATATGTATACAGTGTAATTAAATAGTAAAATGTGTAATGTGAAATAAAATACCTGTTCACAAGTCAAAAACTATTTTTTTTCATAACGCCTGCTGCAGTCTACACAAAAAGTACTATGAAAGCACACAAAAGCACACATAACAAATACGGACCCTTTATTTGCTGCACTTAAAGCAAGCTGCAACATATGAGGGGTTACTTTCGTTTAGCATCATTACGAAAATGGTTCCAACCCTCGCTCATCAAATTAAAATGTAAACTGTAGCCTATATAATGAAACGACATGGTGAAATGTAAAATGTATTCGTAAACATAGATAAGTAAAAACATGAAAGCATGTCCGATCCTAATCAAATAAATCAACTATTTGATTGCGTAGTGAAATACATTATAATATTTAATCGTGTCTCAATTTCAAATTATTCGCGTAACATAGCTTCCCCATAATTTATCATAGCAAATATACTCTTATACATTCATAAGTTTCATTAAACAAAACCATAAAAACCTGCCAAAAAATGTCGTAAAGAGGGTTAACGGTATGATGCATTGTCCACCACGTAACCTCAGTGCGGATTGGCAGACTTCGCGTTATTGACAGAACATAATTAAAAAAAGCTACGGTAACAACATACATTTGTTTTTTTTTTGTTATATGTTACAATCCACTGGCAATACTACTTAATATACGAGCAATAACAATTATACTTAATAAACATTGAACCATATCTGGTATAATATTATATAATAAACCATGCTTAATAATAATATATAATTTAATAGGTCAATCTTATTAACTGTATTTGTAATTTTATAAGTGCATTGATTTGTAATGTAGTCGTGATGACTCATTATATTTTTGTATAAAAGCGCATAATGTTTCAGTGATAAGGTAGAACACTTTGTCCTTTGTATAGGACGTTACACTGTCCTAATAAGTAGGAAGTAGTCTAATTAATATATAAAGTTGTTTACGCTATCCTCACTATTTTATTTTGGCCGACCACCCTACAGTCTTTAATATATACTTTAGTTTAATTCCGTAGAGTTGAGAAACGACTCTCACTAGTTTCGAAGACCCTCCGAGGATTGGAGTGCATTGAAGCGAGAGCCACTGGGCTGGTTCGCGACCAACACGCGTGACGGACTCGCTTCGGCGCAGTCGCGCGCCCTACGCAAACGCAACTAAGCCGCCCGGAAACGCCAACAATGCAAGTTTGTAGTCGCCTACAAAAGTTGACACAACACTTTTGTACTTAAGACAATGAACATTTCTCAATTTTTTATGTTTGTTTCATAATAATCATTATTTTTCGCATCTGAGACTTGTTTGATCTTTTCTATGAGCACACCTTAAATCCCCTCAACCAATAAATCAGGTTTAACCACAGATCCTCACAAAAGAACACCCATTCATCCCAAGGACGATTTGCGAGGTTATTAAAGTTAAAAACATGCAAATTTCAATAGAAAAGAGGGTTGGGTGCGACCATTGGATTGGGAACCTATTATCAATAAAAATAAATCTAGGCTCAAACGAACCGTTACTGCAAGACATGATACACTTATGCCTAGTTTTCGAAAGGCCAATCAAAGCAGCAATCACATAACACTATGTCAAAAATGATCAGCTGTTAATCTCTTGTTAAACTGCCTTGGGTTTCTGGAAGGTTTGTTCAAGAAAAATTAGCTAATCACTGTATAACCAATTATAATGAATGAAATGAATGATTTACTTCAACTAACTCTTTCTATTGTATAGCTGTCTCTTTTTAAACAAAACTTAAATTAACGTCACTATCCAGTCCTGTCACCGTGTGATTGCCAACGTAAAAATCCGAGCTATAATAAAATTTAATTTATATAAATACATCTAAAATGTCAAAAAAAAACTTTACAGAACGTGAAAAAAATGAACTCTTATCCATAATAAACAAGTAAGTATTATAAAAACAAAGAATCTATATTACTTATTAACTTTTGAATTTCATTTTGTATTTTTTCTAATCACATGATATGTTCCCATAATAATAAATAATAAATAGTTAATAGAACATATGAATGTCCTAACAACATATTAGGGAATTATGTTTATTTTTAATAAAAACTAAGATTTTTGATAAATAACATTTTTAACCAACGATTGATCGTCCAAATTGACAGATTACTTAATAAAACTTTTGACAGCTCGTTGACCACCGAAAACCGATTTCAGAAACTCGATTTTCTGTTGATTGTCCGTTAATCAGTGACTAATTGCAAATCAAAATCAATGTTGTTTAAGACGTTCTAGCAACTCAGATCATGTTAAACAACGATTGACAAGAGATTTATCGTAAATTAAAATTGATTGCGCTTTCGGAAACTGGGTGTTAGCATATTATACACTAGCGACCCGCCCCGGCTTCGCAAGGGTGCAGTGTATTATACATATAAACCTTCCTCTTGAATCACTCTATCTAGTACAAATCCGCATCAAGATCCGTTGCGTAGTTTTAAAGATCTAAGCATACATAGGGACAGATAGACAGCGGAACGACTTTGTTTTATACTATTTAGTGATTCGTACATCGGACAAAAAATTAATAATTAAAAGCTGACGGTAACCCGGCCTCAGTTTCTTTGTTCCGTGCCATAAACGCTGAAAAGGATTCGAAACGACGGGAAGTCAAATTAAAGCGACAAATCCGTAAAAAAATAGTTAGTCATTAAATAATGTGTAATCGCGTAAATATAAGAAATTATCATACTTCAAAGAAAGCCCGACTTATTTTCATATATATAAATACCTACTCTACAATAAAGTATCACGTACGTAGTGTATGTAAGTGTATAGGTACGTATATATTTGCCTTAATGGAGAAGTCGTTAGTTTTCATCTTAATAAAACTGTTGCATTTCGCTGACCGTGTACTCGGTACAATAACTTTTCATACGATAAGTCTATGCCTATCTTATCGCTTAGAATGATTCGCGATAAAGTTGGAAGGTATTATGGTTAGCGTTATGCCGTCATTAAACTTTCTGGAACTTCGGATCAGATGAGAAATCTTAGTTTCTGCGAAAACGGGACTATATCTCCTGCGAAGTTTTTATATCATTATAACCGGAACATATTGATATAACTGTCACGAACTAGGAATAACTTTCTGGTTATCTACAGATGTATTATATGAGAATTATGTAATCTAGTTGACATAAATCAAAATAAATTATATCCACCGTCCCATATATATCGGCTATACATCGAATATATGTCATAAAAATATCAAAACTATTTTTTACCTGAACCATAGTACCATTGTTTTTTTTTTGTTTGTTTTATTTTTGGTGTATATCTAATAAAGTATATTAATTGATTCATTCATTCATTGTTCCCTAAAAAAAAACTCAATGAAACGCATTATTGTGTTATTCACTGTACGAACAATCTCTCAATCGAGAAATTTAATCGACTTTCGTTGGAGATTGAATAAAACTGGTAGAAAAGTACCAAATTTTACATTACTAAGTTGTTTACGACGAATAGACTAGACTTTTAAATGAAAATAACACTAAGTGGTACAAAAATGTTAGGAGACATTTTATTCATATAATACAAAATGTATTTATTTAGGCGTTAAGTCTGGCGAGAGCACCGACGGGGTCGTCGCCCCCGATACCTCCGGAATCGATACTCTGAACCAACCTCAGTCTCAGCGGCAACTTTGAATCTGTCTGAGACTTTTGCCGTGCCATTAAAATCAAATCGTCATCAGTAAAAAAAATGCGTAATGAGCGCATTACAAGGATGTAAATTAAAACTTACATAAAAATTAATGTAGTTTTTTTTTTATTAATAATAAATAAATATTAAGGACATAGACCCAATGTAATCTAGATCCAAACTAAGCAAAGCTTGTACTATGGGTACTGGGCAACTGATAAACATATTAAAACATACTTTTTTGTAAATACATACAATGTTATAGATATATAAACACGTAGGCACTAGAAAAACTATGTTCATCAAACAATATTTTTCCAGTAGCGGGGATGGACCCCAATCTATATTACGAGAAACAGTTTCACTATCCACTACGCCAATCGGGCTGTCAAATGTTACCAAACTTGAGAACCAGACGTCACCATTATCATCACCTCCGGCAGTTCACTTTTGGCCCCTTCCCACAGGCTACGCCATACATCTAGATATTCGACTATGCGCATCCGTTGCTTGCGCTTGGAGCTTTTTTTTACTTTGGTTAACTACCTATATAGAGTAACATCGGTGTTCACTTCATTGGGTTGGTTGTGTTGCCACTTATATATTCCAAAACCTATGTCAGCCTTGCTTACAGAACGTAACAAACTGGCAGTGGATGGTAAAATACATGTGCCTAACACAGAAACAAGTGCCTTTGTAATTGAGCATATGGTGGGGCAATTAGCGGGCACCGCTGAACCATTCGAGGAACGCGTCAAGTTGCAACGCTAAATCACGTGTTCACCGTGACGGTAAACCACAAAGGTAACAAACAAAAACACTGCAACCGTTATACAACCAGTCAAATGCGCAGTAGGATCGCATTGTGGACTATGCCCTAAATTAATACCCACGGTACAGGGGATGCCTTTGCTCAGCAGTGGCGTAGAATATATTATAATATAGGCTATAACTTTATTATTGATAAAACCCTTTTTTTTTTTTATTTTAACACTCGTTAGACTAATGAGGGAATTAGACGTACTGACATAAAATAACTATTAAATAAATACACGTATTTTCTGTATGGAAATCTATCTTTAAAAGATCACTGATCTGATATATCCATAACGTTCTTCTTCGACTCCCCCTACCCATAGTTTATGTATGACGTTTGCCAATGACGTTATAGAAACTTACTTAATTAGTGTTATCATATAATACTGATTTTTATCTTAACATAGTATGTTAAAACATAAGCAAATTTTATCGAATAAACACTTAAGACGCGAACTGTTTTATTTATTGTTGTATTATTTCAGTCCCATTCCTTGGACGGTACGGAACTAGTGTGCAATAAAAATAATATAGTACCAACGAGGTATACAGGTGACATTTATGCAAACTCGCCGACAAATGTCTGCAGGCAGTGAAACGGACTTTATGGCGTTGTAAATACGAACATCATGCTAAGAATATTCTATGCCAGGGCCGGTCGATAACGCCGCCGGTGAGTACGTTCGTAAAGCCGACAACAGTGTACAGTGCACCACATAAGTCATAACGGTGATGAATCACCAACACCATAGTTCAGAAGCTAAAATTACTCCTGTTTACGTATTCAGTTCTCGCGTTTTCGATAAGGTTTGTGTTAAACAGTGACGTGTCCTAAGGTTTTGTTACTTGTCAACGTTCGGTCACTTTACACGACCGGTGAATTTCTAATTAAGCGAATTAATTGAGAAGAATTCGCCAAAGAGTTATTTATGTAATACTTTTCGAAAATTAATATATTATCAAGACAAATACAACAAAATTAAGCCGATATAAGTTTAAATTAATGTTAACGGCATACTTAAGAAAGAAATAATAAAAAAGCGCAATGATTTTATTACACATAAAATAACTATAATAAACTAACAAAAAAACTAACTAATGTCTAATAAACATCGCTCGTAGTAAATTGCAATTTTAAACCTTTTGATTTGACTGTGTTGTACCTTTCATGATATGTTAAAAATATGTAAATCACACTACACACTACAAAAGATGATGGCAGAATAAAAAACTATGTCAAAAGTCTTCATTTTAACTTGGGGCGCCCTATTTCCACATCCCCTTCCATGTTCCCGCGTCTTTGGCATACAAACAGTTTATAAAGCTATAGATAGGTCGTATATTTTTTAGATCTTTTACAAAAAAAAAAATAATAATTTGAGGACAAGCTGAGACTAAATTTCTTTAAATATTATGCTCCGGCCTGGTAATCAAGTAGTTACTTGATAACCACTTAGTCATTTCACTTGAAAATCACACAAAAAAAAAACAATTTCGAATTGTGAACCTAATCCTTTTTGAATATCTAAAACTAAAATCAGCTGAAAATAGAAAACTAAAATTGTGTAACAAACTTTAGAAAAAACTTTTGTTCCACGTTATGTTTTAGCAGTACCATAATAAATATTTAAATACAATGTTCATACTATTTTCTTAAATACATACAACGTGATTTATGAATGAGTCAGATTATTTATTTGTCATGCTAATCAAAAGTCTTTACAGTCAGTCATTGATTCATCATTTTGGATACTGAGAATACTATTAAAACAACGGAAATGTTATATTTATAACGATAATTAGTATATTAGTAAATAAGGAACAGATGCATCTTAACACACAATGTTGGAGTGTGAATACTTAACTTTCGCGTATACAAAAGTCTTTATTAATTCTTATGAAGCAATTTAAATGAGATTTACGTTATCGCCTCATCTTTAATATTTTTATGGTGGTAGGGCCACGCAGCAGCCTCGGCTGTTGCATGAATGGGCAGGCTCGTCCGGGTAAGTACACCGACCACACAGAAGACCGGCGTAAAGTGGAATTATAATACTTTCACGTTTCGTCTTGTGAGTGAGGTGGCCGGAGCCAAATTTTCAAAAGGTTGTCAACGCATCTGCAACCCTCGGGTGTAGCAGATGTCCATGGGCGGCGGTATTCACTTGCCATCAGGTGAACCGTCTGCTCGTTTGGCAACTTTTCACATAAAAAAAATCCATTAAATCCCGATCCTAAGAAATCCACTCACCTTGACGTACCATCGCGTTTGGGACTTGCGATGTCTTGGTCGGTTTCGCTCGACGCTACGAGACTCCTCGCGCGCCGGCGAGCAAAGTGCATGGTACTTTGCCGCCAGAGCCTTGGTTCTTTCAGCCAGTGAATGCCGAAGCTCGCCCCCAGCGCAACCGCGCACCAACATCCCTTCTCATCCACCCTCGACCTCTTTCCCCGACGCCTCTTTTTTCACCACTGAATTATTCATATCTAACTCACTAGCCCCCGTGGCGCTTTGCCTCGTCAACGATAACTTTAATAGTCAATGCCAAGTTTTAATGCCTAAACAGAAACACCAATTTCCGGTCAACAAGAGTTATATGTCATAGCAAACATAAAATCACAGCAAAGAACAATCTTATAAAGAACATCACGGCTACTCAATTACTCAAGGTCCGGGTCGAGGAACACGACACAAAGAATATTCTATTTTTATCCAGGCCAAAGTAGCATCGCTAATCATTCTGTTTTTGATATAAAAAAATCACTGGCTAAACTTTTGATGTCTTTGATGAAGTGATACATCTAAATATGTAGGTACTTAATATTAAATTATATATTATACACAGGAAATATAACAACCAGTTTCGTTTTAAAAATTGTTCGCTAAATCTTAGTCTGTCCATATAAAGACACAGGCAAAGACCATCCAATATTCGACGATAAAGGGGATATCCTCATTGCGATACGCCCGTCAGATGATCATGTAAGTGTAGAGCCCTCTTACAAAGATGGAACAGATTATTCATCTACAGCAGTAACATAATAATCTTTCTTTAATTTCAGCATATGTGCATTAAGAAAATAGTTAAGAAAATAGTTTCGGAAAAGTTAGGTGAAACGTTGATGAACCCCTCAAATTTAAATTTGTTTAAGGAACATTCAATGCAAACGATAGTATGAGAAATATTGGTTTATAGAAAGTAAAGAATTTATTCTGTTGATAATAAGTAAGATTTACGTAAGTAACAAAATCTGGACGGAGGAACTTAGGGTAGTCTACCATGCGATCCTACTGCAGATGGGCAGACTATACTATTTCTATTAACAATATAAGTATTTGAAATTGCAATTATAATTATTTATTGATGCCGGCAGCAGGGTTTTAAAGTTAGACCGACAGTCTTTAACATGTTCTGAAGTGAGCTAACCGATCGTAATTTCTTTTTAGTATATATATATATATATGGGAAGTGCTCAGAGAACACCAATAGCGATAGTTTGTGATATTTTATTTTTCAACTTAATTTAGGTTTCATCGTTTCCTATACTGTAGAAGTTTTGTTGAAGTCTAAAAAAATATCATTGTTTTCCTGTTTTGGTTCAAAATTTGATGTTTTAATTCAATCAATTTTACATTTAAACTTGATTGATAAAATCGATTACGACCTACGGACATCATTGAGGTAGGTACCTACTTAACAGATAGCAAGCGGTTCGCACACCTGACGAATATTTCAAAATGTATTTTTTATTCAACATCTACCTGCGTCCCAAGCAAAACAATAGCCTATCGTCCGCTTAGTGTCAAAATGCTCGTAAAAAGTTGTACATAAACCTGGTGCAGTATTCAAACTGTGAGAATTAATGTTTTTCGGCAATTCTCAATATTTTCTGGTTTAGGTTTTTTTTTATTTATTCAAGCAATTAATTCCATTATGTATAATAATTACAGTTCATAATAGCGATTTCTCTGAGGAATTGTTTCTGCACTCTGAGCCGTCTGAGCGTTGTCTTCTCCTTAATATTTACCTTGTATAACAAAAGTATTCATTTCAAGAGGTCTATACAAAATGTCAAAATAGGGACTAAAAATACTACACTATTACTTTGTACAGATTATAATTAGGAGACGAAATAATCCTCGCAGCACCCAAGAAAAATATAATTATAAAAAAATAAACGATAAAATAAATTAGTTCAAATATCACCATACAAATATTCAAGACTATAACATACGTATATAAACACTAAACACGTTAATATAGTGTGTTATCGTGAATTTTAAAACTGGCATTGACTACATCCTGTGATAGTTGAACCCTAATTGATGTACCTGTCAGTTGATAACCATGCAAATAACTTGTGAAGGATTAACATTAACGCGCATAATAAACTCGAGGACGTGATTTCCCCCGTCAGCCACTATTCACTAACAATAGCACCTCTAAAACATTATGTTTACAGCCAAAAACTGGTAATAGTGGATTCAAAACTGTAGCAATGTACTCGCGTAATATTGAAGGCGGGCGTACCGTAATGCCCTAACCGCGCACTCCGCCCGGCGTTAGGTGACTGAGCCCAGCAGCCACCGATCCCCGCGGCGCGATGTCGTACGTTCACGAGAGACAGACGCCGAGGGAACCACGCATGTGCGGAATTCTGTCGGCCTTTCCGAATCGTCGTTCTGATGTCATTGTACTACGTATTCCAAGCCAAGTCTGAGTGTGACGTCGTAATGTCAATTGCCAGTCGATGTGAGTTTCACACATATGGCTCTAACATGGTTCATATCATAAACATCGTGTACGTATCTATTTACGTATTGATTAAAAATACCGATGTACTTTTTATGGCTTTGGAATATATGGGTATTCATATATATAAATTTGGTTTAATGCGGTAAATTTCGCCGCAAAAAAATGTTATAATAGCTAGTTCGGTAATCGGGCGGACCCAAAACAGACCGCCGCGGTTCGTGTCACGATCATTCCACACTTTTTTTTACTTTTTTTTCGATTCCAGATCATTGCTTTCTTTATTTTTTATTTTTTGTCGATCCAGATGATTTTGTTCTTTTTTCCCTTTTTTTTTAAGTTCTTTCTTTTCTGAATAACACCAGTTCATATTTTCTTATTATTACGTCGGTAAAATCAAAAAATATTAAGCATATTTCATTACTCAGTAATCTGTATCTAAATGTAATTTCCAAAATAAACGATTTACCAAAAAAACACGTACTTTATGTAAAAAAAACACGGTCCTCCACGTACTGTTATATTATGGCCACACAGGAAATCTATAGTATAATAAAAAAGTAGAATCGGCGTGTCTGTACATTGAATATATTTATGAAAAAATGAAATAGGGTATCATAAAGAGTTATAGGAAACATAATAACCGTTTTTGCAATTTTTGTCTGTCTGTCTGTCTGTCTGTGCGCGATAAACTCTGAAACTACTTATCGGATTTTGATGCAGTTTTCACCGGTTACTTAAGCGAAGCTTTGGGCAACATCTAGGCTTTGTTTCATCTCAATCGGTTCTCTCAAACGGGAGATATGGGAGTTCTAAGATTAAAACAGTGCAGTCGCAAACAGTTATCCAACTACTTGACTGATTTGTATGGTGTTTTTGAAAGTATTCAAGATTAATTCTGTGCAATATAAAGCTCTGTTTTATTGCAATAGGTTCACTCAAAAAAAAGTTATGTGAATACTCACAAAACATAGAATCGTTTTACGGGGTTTTTGACAGCGTGTCAGTACGATTTCCTCGCAATATTTAAGTATCGTTTACAGAATATAGACGTTATTAGCTACTGGATCAATTGGAACAGTTTTTAATTTTTTCATATGTTATAGCAGCTCCCAATACAAAAACTTAACTTCCATACAAAATGTAGTAGCAGTGATAAAATTTTAACCACGATTTTTTTTCAGTTTCATAATAAAAATCAAACTTTTTTTTATTATTTATTAACAAATTCTTCAATTGATAGAATTACAGTCCAGCATAGGTAAATTACGATAAGATAATTAGTTCCCGTGAAAAACTAGATGGCGTCTGTAAATTCATAAAATGCGCCGACCATTTGCATTTTAATAATAATAATGTCAATTTCTTCGATTGAGATTTAAACATATACACCGAGGTGAAAGGCCAATGGGGAACGTCACAGCTGTTTTCTGTAGAGATTTTCGAAACCCTTCCTCTCATTACTCAAGCAAAGAAATAAATGCCTCACAGAAGCGTTCTTATCGCTAGCTAGTCTCAAAAACATAGATTGCGGTTGACAGTTAACGTGCGGACTCCGTTTACACGCGATGTACTCAGTACTCACCGTAGCTTGCAAGAATTTTCCGATGTTCTGTAAAAATTTGAGAACGCAGAATGGATATCCTTTGATAGAAAAATGGGCAGGTGTCTTCCGAACATACTAGGTACAGTCGTTTTCTCCGAAAACAAACTGATAAGTTCAGTATTTGAAGATTTTTCAAGTTGAACACTTGAAAGTTCTCAAAATACTGAACTTAAGGCACTATATGCAGTGAATTTTTAACTATTTGGGTGGTGAAGTATGACGAAGCGGAGGAAGGTTAACCCCGCTTAGCGAGACCATCGACGCGCCGCTTGACCAAGTCATTCATTTTACCTAGTGTGTGTTTAGTGATGGGCCGTAGTCTCCTATCTTGTATTAACTGATGTTTTTGCTTTCAGTCCCGAGACTATTAAAGCTTCATCTGACGCAGAACCGGTGGGCTAGCCAGAACCCACGGGTTTGGGCCCTCCGCTATGGGTAGGGCCGCGCATGTGCTCATGCGTGCGTTTAACTACGACATGTCATCTAAGGGCCATCGAAGTTGCGGTGCGTACCGAGACCCCGATGGCCGTCGACTGTGTTTTTAGCTAATCGGTGGCTGGGGGCGGTGAGAACCGCCCTGGAACGCGGGTGTACCTTGTGTACGCGTTGTGTTGGTCTCGCCGTGCTCGGAGGCGAGGGCGAACTATTGTGTTTTTTGTTACACTAGCTGTGGGTGTAGTGTTATCCGGCGGGACCACCGGCGGTGGGTCCGGCGTATCTAAGTCCCCTTCCTCGACCGGGTCGATTAGGACGTTTCGCGGGTGACGCTTGTTGACGTTCGCGATTGTGTCGGGTTGGTAATTTGATGCGCTTACCACCAGAGGGTTGGGATGATGTTCGGCTCTATCGAAGAACCGTTTGGTTAGGTCTTTAAAATATTCGCGAATCGTCGGGAGTCTGCAATCGCTGTGCAAATCGACGTTGCGTTGATACCATTGCGCACCGGTTGGACGGCGGATGAACTTATTTTGTACTATTTGCAGCTTGTACAAGCGAGTAGGGTTAGTGTGGGCGAAGATCATGAATGAGTAGGACATATAGATCGTACGCGGGTCTTATATA